TGTTTTGGTTCCTTTTTGAGGAAAGTAAGTAATAAATGTGAAAGGCACTTAAGAAACATTCTTTTCTTCTTTGCTGCATAGATCTGTTCACTTCCATTCAATCACTTCTTTTCTCTTCTCATGTTATGGTTTAACCTTCAGGACCTTCAGGGAAAAAAACTGTGGCAATATTCCATTTTTTCTGAAGAACTAGATGGGAAAAAACAACACATGCACACACAACAGGAAATCAGTGGATGAAGTGAAAGTAAAATAAGAATGTCTTGATGCTGAAAATCAAACAGAGGTTAGTCTGACCTCCTCCAGTATATCCTGAATTTCTGAGTCTGACAGCTGAGGAAATGACTTCAGTCTCATGTTCAGTCCGATGATAAAGTCTGTTGATACAAAAGCACAATTTTTACATAAAATAATAAAAACATCATTTTAAACGATAATGTACTCTTTTAAAATAACTATGTATTACTTTTCATTTCAGTACATAAAACAATACTATGATGTTCGTTATTATGATTTCATGAAATCTTTATTTATGAATTAAATTAAACAATTATTATTTTATTTAACTATCTGAAGTAGAGTTAACCAAGAACATATGACCTCATTACAATATTATGTTTTTATTTCATAATTTCTCAATTATATTTACATTTTATACATTTTTAAGTGAGTATTTTGTCTTGCTTTATCCTGACATCAGAATTATTTTCCGAGCTTCTGTTTTTAAAATTAAACGCCAATTCCAAAAATGTTGGGGCCCTATTTAAAATGCAAATAAAAACAGATTGCACTATTTTCCAAATCTCATTAACCCATATTTTATCCACAAAACAATATTAAAAATAACTTCTTCTACCTGGAAAAAAGAAAAACGTACAATTTTAAAAAAAAAGATATTAAATTGAATTTTTTTGAATGTGATGGTTAACAATGTGTAACATCACCTCTACCTTTCACAAGAGTCTGTCAATATGTCCTAGGCACTAGTGTTCCAAAGCACCCATACCATCAAGGATACAGGCTTTTGAACTGAGCACTGATCACAGAACAGTTTTCACATTGCCTCAGTCCATTTTAAATAAGCTTTGGCCAATAGAAGACAGTGGCATTTTGTGTTTACCTATGTCTTTGCATGATAGAGCTTTAACCTGCATTTGTGGATGGCAGAGTAGAATATCTTCACAACAATTTCTGAAAGTTAGACATGAAATATGGACATCTATTGCTGATATTGGAGAGATTTCTCCAAATTGCGCAAAGTTTTCAAAGACATTATGTACTGTATGACAATGATGAGATATTCAAAGTCTTAGCAGTTTTATGTTCAGGAATGTTATATTACTTATTTATTTATTATTATTATTCACTTTGTTTTTGCATTTCAGACAAAATTACCAATCTTTACTCTTGAGAAACCGGGCCTCTCTAAAGTGCTCTTCCTATAACCGATCATGTAATCTGCTTAGCTGAAAAGGTTCCTCCAGCAGCTCCTTTTGAGTACCACTTCTTTTTCCAGTCTTTTGATATCCCCATCCTTACTTTTTTGAGAAATGTTGGTGGATGTCTCAAAAAACACTAATGCAAAATAAGTTTATATAATATAGTTTCTATGTTCGATAGTTAATAAAGTATAAAATATTTTACATAGCTTTCCAACTGGATTTCCAGACCCAAACCCATCAGACAAATATAAGTAAAAAACAAAAAACAAAAACTAAAATGAC